ACCACTGGGAATATCACGTGTAGGCAGAGGAGATGCTCCGGTGGAAAGTAGCGGGCCACGGCCCGGCAAACCAATGGTCCTGGAAGAATCCCCCAAAACCCACGGAAGGGGCGAGCGTCCGTGTAGAAGCGGAGACCTGTAGGGGCAGAGACATATCGGAGAGGGCCATTGATGTTGCAGCGCCCTTACGCTTAGAATCTTGGGTTGGAGAGTAGATAATCAGGATAGTAGGATGGTCGGGAAAGCCGTGTCTCGGACCGCATGAAGGTTGAGTGAGCAATGGTGAGACGCTTATGCAGAGAAGCCATAGAAGGAGAGCAGGAAGATGCTGCGAGGAGGGCAGACACGTACTTGGAAGATGAGCCGGAGTTCAGCGCCGCTGCAGGATGGGCAGCATGATGGGGAGCCTGCGATCAGAAGAGTGAAGAATACAGGTATGGATGCCTTTGATTAGGAGTCCGATTGACGGCTCAGCGCAGCTACTTGGCCAGCTGCACGACCGCCGAAGCAACCCTGGGAGCATAGGTGCGAGTCCGGCGCAGCGCGGCATACTCAGCCGGGCTGCATCCATTAGAAGCGGGATAAGCTTCTGAGAGAGTGGGTTGCAGTAGCAGTAGCAGCAGCGGCAGCAGCAGTAACCTCAGATAATAACAGCAATAGTCCTGTATCAAGCCGCGGCAGCAGCAGTAGCAGCAGCAGCGTCCTTAGAAAATAACAGTAATAATTCTGTATCAAAGCCACAGCAGTAGAATGTTGTTGTAGCTGTTCAGTGTTTCAGTAAAAGAGATGCAAGTGAAGAGAGATGGCGAAGTAAATGAAGCAGCAGCAGCAGTAGTAGCAGCAGTAGCCGTATGAAGCAGCAGCAGTAGCAGTAGCAGTATGAACCAGCAGCAGCAGTACCAGTATGAAGCAGCAGCAGCTGCAGCATCCGTAGATAATAACAGCAATAATCCTGTATCAAAGCCAGAGCAGTAGAATATTGTTGTAGCTGTTTAGTGTTTCAGTAAAAGAGATGCGAAGTGAAGAGAGATGTCAAAGTACATGAAGCAGCAGCGGCAGCAGTAGCAGCAGCAGTAACGGTAGCAGTATGAAGCAGCATTAGCAGGAGCAGCAGTAGCAGTAGGAAGCAGCAGCAGTAGCAGCAGTAGCAGTATGAAGCAGCAGCGGTTGCAGCATCCGTAGATAATAACAGCAATAATCCTGTATCAAAGCCACAGCAGTAGAATATAGTTGAAGCTGTTTAGTGTTTCAGTAAAAGAGATGCGAAGTGAAGAGAGGTGTCAAAGTAAAGAAGCAGCAGCAGCACGGCAGCAGTAGCAGTATGAAGCAGCAGCGGCAGCAATAGCAGCATTTAGCGGCAGCAGTAGCAGCAGTAGCGGTAGCAGTATGAAGCAGCAGAAGAAGCATTAGCAACAGCAGCAGCACCACAATGCAATTCATACGAACAACAGACGTGTCGCGCCAGCGTGCGCCGCTTGTCTCCGTGAGCCAGGTTACGTACGTGTCTGAAAGAGCCGAGCCGTAGAGACAGGTGCAGCCTGGGAGCCTGCGGAGCGGCAGCGGCAGGAACAGCAGCAGCGGCACATGTAGTAGTAGGAGCAGCAGGAGCAGGCAGCAGGGACAGGCAGCAGCAGGAGCGGCAGCAGGAACAGGCAGCAGCGGGATCAGGCATCAGTAGGAACGGCAGCAGGGACCGCAGCAGCGGCGGTCAGAGAACCATGCCCACGGTTGTTTAAGAGCCTGAGGAAATAAATCAACCCGAATCCGAAACATTCCCATGCGAAAAACAGACGTCCCCTGGAGCCATCTTGCTGCTTTGGTTATGGTAGAACGCATGAACGATCACTTTTCCATGCGTTCATTAGCTCCAACTCCACTTCAAACCCATTGCAGATCACATTGGGCCCCTTTTCTTTCTGCTGCACTTTCGAAATGCAACAACTGCAGTTTAGTTACCCAATTTAATACTAGTGACCTAGCTATTTAAATGCATGGCCCCTCCTTCCTCCTGCAGATAGACGAATTTAAATACATTCATTTAACAATAGTGACCTGCGAGTAATGAGATTAATGCTGTAAAGATGGCGCCGTGGCAAGAGCTCTGTGTGTGCCGTCTGGAGCACGATGGGGTAGTCTTTGCACATTTTTTCCAACGTGGTTTTACTGCAAGTGGCAGAACATGAATCTGAATTAATGCACATTGCTCCTCTTATATCCCTCAGACATTGGAGATTGATGCCATTTAAGATGCATTGTCCCTCAGTTAGCTCAAACACGTGTAAAACGGAGCCTGCAGACCAAGCACGGGGCGAAAACTGACGCCTGCAGTCAAGTGCGTAGGGCAAAAACCAGCCGCCTGCAGCCTAGACTCCGGGATTAATCTGTCCGCGGTCGGCACACTCACTGTACTCACATGCCAGGAGACGTGGGAAAAGCAACGGGACAACGCGGCACCGCTAATCGGAGGCAGGGACACGCACGGCACCGCCAGACCGTCTGCGCGCGGCAGCAGACCATGAGGAACGAAGCAGCACGGAAACCGCGGAGGGGCCCCGCGGAGCAGCCCGCAGAAGAGCCCGCAGAGGAGGAGAGCAGTGGGGATATGCGAACCACAGCAGGTGCAGGGACGCGGAGGAGAAGCAGACCACGAGCAGCCAGACTGAGGACAGCCGGGCCACGCGCACGAGCAACACGTGAGCAGAAGCGACCCCTCCAGAACAACGCATGCATTTGCGAACAGGTGCGTTAGCGACATGCACCTTGCAGGCTTCAGAAGTTTGCAAACTTCAGAAGGCCGGGAAGTGGGCGTCTCCGGCTTTTAACTTGCTGTCCTGGTGGTTATTGGTGGATTAGATGTGGGCGTTTTGCTGGTGTAATGAGTAGAGGATGAGCAGGCTTGTAGATCTGGCAGCAGTGGCCGGGTCTACCACAGTGAACTTTCGCGAAGAGCTTCATTACTATATTTATTCAGTTTCATCGTATAGTCTTCAATTGTGTTACATTTGTGCATTTGTATTTTTCAAATTATTTTTAACCATCAATATTATATATTCTCTTCATTGACTTCATTGGTTATTACCACTTAGGCTTTACTTTATAATGCTTTTTCATCATTACAAGCAGCAGCTTTGATGACCTCTTGAAATCATAAGCAGCACAGATGAGTTCCTCCTCAAATCCACATGGGACGCTCCTCAGGGAGTCAGTGACCTCCCAGGTCCTCACACTGACCACGCCTTCCAGAGTATCCGCTATATACTTGACGTCGAGGGCTGCAGGTACAGCTCAAACACGTCTGCATAAAATCTCAAGAGAAAGCTGTGACAAAGAGAAGACCTTTCCACTGCTTGTTGGTGAATGTTTCAAAGATGTCCTGATGCTGTCGCAGCAGATGTCTCCTGCACTTTCTATACAGTCCATGTTCAAGGACATGGGGCTGTATGCGAGCCAAGCCCACACCTCCATCACTCACGTGTGCACTGGCGGCAGGTAATGGCACTTCTCTCCGGTCACACGCTGTGCTGCTCTGCTGTGACGGACGGGAGCGCTTCTCTAATAACAAACACAGCACTCAAGGTTAAACAGTTTTTGGTTTCTCGGGTAAACATGAAAATGACACATGATTGGCATAGACAGAGTGACAAGGTCCGACCCAGTCCCACGCTTCACTGAGGAAACGCCTGATTGGTCTGTCATCCAGGACAGAAGGGAGCTAACAACCATCTCCAGAATGTCGTACGGAAAATGTCTTTCAAGGACAAGTGTCATCACCTCACTGAACAGTAGCTGGAAATGTCTTTTCCTTGGTTCCATCTACTGTATAATGGAACCATAGTTCACAAAAGGATGGTTGAGATCAGTGGATTCAAACTCCCTAAGGTCAGGGGCTCAATAAAGAAAAACATACAGGAAGCCACCAGCCCCTGGGATTTTTAGGTTGGTCCAGGATCTGGTGTAGCCACTCCTCCAGCTTCAGGGTCACTGCCCGAGTGCATCGATCGCCACGCGCCCTCTCTGAGCCCTTGGTGTTCATTCACATTTCTGTTTTTATTTTTACAATATTTGTACTATTTGTTCTTTTTGGGTTCCTCGTTTCCTCTAGAAATATTGCTTAATATTATGCACTTTTTAACACGCCAATAACTTCTTACCATCAATGCTTGCAATTTGATAATAACAACAACACATTATTTTAGAGCTCCCTTGTTTGACACCCCTGGTTTATATAAATCAACCAACTGTGAATGTTGGTACCACAAAAAAAGTTACTTTGCAATGTGACAAAGTCTGCCATCTTTCTCCTTCACTATCATTTTCATGCAGATGCCCCCTGAGCAGGGTTCACTCTAAAAGGCCAACTCATTTTTCAAACAGAAATCTGGCACTAACACAAGCAGGACAAAGAGAACATACAGACCATGAGTGTCCAAGGAGAAACCAATCTTTGCTGCACAATGGTCGAGGTATAAATAGCGGATTTTTAATGTCAGTCATTTAATTTTGACAGCATTCATGTGTGTTACAGAACAGACATTTTCTGCTGCATTACACAAGTTCTAAGTGCTATTAACATTTCATACTTCGATTTACGTGGCTTTCCATGTGTTGTCATCTCCTCTGATGTAACGTGAAGCAGAAAAGATTTTGCTCTGGAGTTATGCTTTGAAAAAGTTCAGAATATATAGCAACATATCACATATATCACATATACAGAGTTTTGAAGAAGACTTTGAAAATGTATTCTGTTACAGTATACTGAATACATGACCTAAAATGTATTTTTCCCAACATCTGTTACTAAAAAACAGTAACTGTATTCTGAATACTTTACATATATTGTCTATGCTAATATAGACATTATTATTTTCTTTTGGGAAATACATCATCCCAATAGGTCAAAATGAGGACTTTTATTTTACAACCTCATGTTTTTTGTGCATGCTCTCCTCTTCCCACTGTGCAGCCCTGTGCAGCTCATCCATGCGAAGGCAGTGGGCAAGGGAACTGAATCACGACAGTTGAGTGGAGCGCTGGATGTGGAGTTTGAGTGGTAGGAACCTAGGATAGTGGAGACACTGGCAACCTGCTCCACTGCTCCAGACCAATGTGTAGCAGAGGTTTATATATGTCAGTGCACAGTGACTGCGAACATTGTTTTCATATGTTTGATGCAGTGTGTTCAGGCCCAAGGGAATTGTTTACTGTCTGTTGATTGCAATGATTACTATATCATCTTAATTGGCTCTGTTAACGTGAATGCATGACTGCAAATGAATGATAATTATGTGAGGAAGCAGTGATCTGTGCTGAATTAGTTCCCTCTGCTAATTCTGTCATTGCAACAACACTGTCCTGCGTGTGTTTATCACTTCAATTGGTCGAATAACATCAACGTTACTCCTACCGCAAGCAGAACTGAGGCCCTCTGACTGGCAAATTAAAATGTCATTATTATACCGGGAAACTAACACATGGTTTCAGTCATCGAGTTTTTTTTACAGTGTGTGGTGAGTTCCACCAGAGTTTTGTTGCTTTTTCCTTCTCATTCTAAATATGCTCCGAAGCAAAAGCATGCACTAAAAATGACAGATTCCTCCAAGAGCATTTACTGTAGCTGCTGCTAAATGTGACATAGTTCCACCAACATACCACATAAAAAAATCTGGTCGTAGAATGTTAATTTTCTCAATCATTCTTTTTTATATCTATTTTTTTACTATTTTTTTATGCACTATTTTTTTTTAATCCATGGCAGCGATCAAAGTATTATCCCTACGGCAAAGGATGTTGCAGATTATGTTGTAAGAGGTACGATCAAATATTTAGATAAATCGATAACCCAAAGTTATTGGCCAAATACATACAAAAATACAAATTCTAAACTACTCATAACTATAAATTACTCATGCCACCTTCAGGTTTGAAATGTTTATCTCTGCTTATGATATTTCACAGGCCACAATTTGCAAGAGGAAAAATTCCATACAAAGTGTGTGAAGCTAAGGATCGCACCAGATACTGACTGGTTTTGTTTTATTGTGGTCAGCCCAAGGCTTATCTGTGTAGTGTTCATGCTGTCTGATGAGTCTTCGTGTGCCTCACGTGTGAAGTGGGATGGATTGTCTTTGCAAAGACTAAGCATTCACTGAATCAGAAGATTTATATTTGTGAACAATATCTTAGAGTGTGTGTTTGTGTTGCGTTTGTCAGGTTAAAGCTTTTGGACACGCCCAGGGACCAGATCTGAAACCAAAACTATCCTCGCTGTGATCTGTGCATCCCTGGGGAAGTGTTCCAGGCATTTCTCAACAGGAGGAGACTCTGGGGAAGAATCAGCTGGCTTGGGAATGAGCTGGAGGAAGTGTGTGTGTGGATTGACGTCTCTCTGCTTAGGCTGTTGCCCCCGCCACTTTATAAAGGAAGAGAAATGGATGGATGGACAGTGATAGTTTTAGTAGACAACACACAACCTAAACTAAAGAAGTTACTCGACAAAAAAGCCGAGTTAGCCATGTTGATTTTATTTTCTGTGGGAAATCTTCAGTTCAATAAATCCTTGTTTCTTGTCAAGCTACGCACAGATTGCAGAGGGAGATTGAATTACTTCGAGACTTCCCGAAACCAGTGGAAATCGCTGTATTTGGGCATGAAGCGCATCAGTGGCGCTTGATAATTAGATGGCATCAACGCAGCGCACAGACTCACTCTTGTCATCAGATTAGGCCTGTAATAGTGTGGATACATCATCAAAATACACTCCGGCAGATCAGAGCAGATGTGGAATTAATTGCTTTTGAGGCTGATGGTGTTAATGCTGAGTTTAATAGTGAGACAGACTCGTAATTACCACACACAGGCCCAGCAGGTCTGGCACACGCACTAATGTGTGAACACTACACAAACGACGATCCAATGCATACATGGACAGAGATAAACACCTGTAACCAAACATGTTAAGGACATTTCAGGCACCCGATGATGTTTTATCTGCCGGCTCAATGAAACCCAGAACAGTATAATCAAAACCCTTATGATGTTAAATTCAGTGCCATGTGGTACTGGTAAAGTTTGATGATGATGAAGATGATTATGATTATGATGATGATGATATTCAGAATTCAGAAATTTTAACAAATTGTCAGTGATAGAAGCTCACAAATAAAAAAAATGATTTTGGGACAAAGTATATTCAATAACACAGAGAAAGAATAGTCGATAATGGCTAGTGGCGCCTTTAGGTCACGGTACAGCAGGGGTACCCACACGGTGTCCTGTGGTCATGAGCTCAAGCAGCACTTCCACTAATTGGCCCATTTTGTTAGGTTAGAATAAAAACTTTGGCTGAATACGGTTTCAAAATATCAAGTTGATGGGTAGCGCCTGTATTGAAACACCTAAAGTTGAAGGTGTTATCCTTTCATGAGTCTTTGTGCAGAGGGATAATAATTGTGACAAAAGGTGCTGATCCTTCCCTTGGTCCAGAGCTCCCTGCTTTGACCTGTTCAGCTCCGAATCCTGGAATCACCGCATGTATATTTAAAATCCTCCAGCTGCGGTAGTCCTGACCAAGCCGAGCATCAACAGCAAGAGATGGGTTCCCGGGCCCTGTACTTTGGCGATCACTGCTCCTGACGGAAGCCTGAGTGGCATCAGGATGGGTCAAATGCAGAGGATGAATTGCCCTACAGGGATAAGTAAAGCGCACACTATATTGTCCTGCAGTAGTTATAGTGTTGCAGATGCACACATACTGACCTTGTCCTGTCTGTATGCACGGAGAGAGCACTCCATCATAAATCTAAACTCCTCATGCAGAGATTCAGAGCTGTGAATGCATGCTGAGTGACACACATAGAGCCATAATCCCAGTCCTGATGCCTGTGTTTGTGACAGCGCCTCACCTAAACAGCCATAAGTCACCATACCAGGCGCAGCACTGATTTACACAGCTAGTCTAAATGTTAAGTCCCCACAGTCCGTCACCTGGCTGACAGCAGCGGGTCGGGGCCCACTGAAACACCCACATTCATCAACCAACCACCAATACACACATGCCACGTCTAAAAATAATCCTGTTCAAATTACTACTATAAATTTGATTTACAAGTTGCAATGATTGAGAATTGTGTAGAATATACAGACAAGCTTGTGTTTTTATTAGGGTTTGTAATTGATTATTATAGGTCTGTTAGTTTTAGATGGGGTATCTAAGTTTCAAACCAGAGAAAAGGGAACAACCACAATCCTAAAACTTGTCTCTTTCTCTTAAAACATTTTGGTTCTAAATCTAGTTTCCACGTGTATGCATCTTTAAATCACCTTTTCAGACAGAAAAAAGGAAAACAGAGGAGCACCATCAGCTCTCAGCCCAAGCGTCACATATACTGTTGCTTATTCACACTAGTTTTAGACATGTTGATAGGATGAAGATAGCATGTAGTGACGATTTACTTTTAAATGAGTCCAGTTTGATACCCAGTTTTAAAATCCAAATAAATGTATTGCTCTTGAAATGCTGTGGAAAGCCCTGAAACCTATTCCCACCCAACATCCCACCACATATAACACATTATTAATTTAAGAACAAACTTACAAATCTATATTTCATTCTTGCTGCAGTCCGACAGTCTTTTCTTCACACTTCTACTGTTCTGATAGTGGTGTTTGGTGAGTGTGAAACTGTTACAGAACAATGGACTTTAGTGTAAGCTTTGTGCTGTCTCCTTTTTGCTTTATAAACTAACCCCAGGTCTTTTTGGTCATCAACTGTGGAAAGAAGAGTTTTATAGTTGGATGGATATTTTATTGATCACCGTAGGAGAAATTCAGGTGTCCAGCAGCAGAAACTCATCATCCATACAGACACAAATAAATACATATGTAATTCTATGAGTGACAGCCATAGGCAAGGTTAGTATCAGAATTGCTACTTTTTATCCAACAATCTGGATTCCCACCAACCTCACCCTTTGTTTTCCCGACAAATTTCAGGTCTCCACCTTTTTCACCTAAAAAGGGTCAACTTTGAAGTGGATTTATTTTTGGAATATGTGAGTAATGCGTTATTCTGTCTGACTTTCAAGATTGGTCCCCAGATCCAGGCTGTTTTTTTTGTTTGAAATAATTTGGCCCCAGGGTATTCCCAAGCTGCCTTGTTGAGGTCATTTTTCCAAGTAGGAACTGGATAACTTAATAAGATCACTGGTAGAAACGAAGAAACATTTCGGCTTAAATTCATTATGAATCTGGAAAATGTCTCACCGTCTTGTCTGAAAAAATTCTCACCGTCTTGTCTGTCTGGCATTGAAAAACAAAGCCTAAATCTGAAGATAATTTGTAACCAAAATCTGCCAAATCACGGAGCCCAAAATAGTAAATAGATAAAAGAAAAGAGGGAGAACACCAGTCCGTCTAATATTTGGCTTTTGTGTGTATCGGCGTTCCATCGGGAGCAGCTGTGGTGGGAGTAATGTCTGATGGCTGAACTGGGACATAATCAGCTCTTGTTACTCTGGGGCTGAGATGACAGCGTTTGACAGACTCCATATCTGCGCCTCATTCGTCTGTCTGTCCCCGTTCTCCAAATACATGTACACACAACACTGTAACCACAATTCCCCCAAGGCCCCAGAGAGACACTCACTCATGAAATCTATCTTCCCCTCCATCCTTTTGCCCCCTTGCCTCACTGAGCTACATCCCACAGCAGACTGCTTGTGGCACACTTGTAATTACACTTTTGAACGGTTTAGATGAGGGACCCTCTTGATGTTTGTCCAAATGAAGGGATCATTCTGGAATATTGCATGCTGCTCTGCTCACGCTGTGGCTGCATTTATGATATGAATCGATAACTTGTTTAAGAAGAATTATGAGGCCAGGCCCAAAAACAACAGCTGTGAGAGCAGTTTGAACCCGTCTGCAATGGTTAGCCCCTCCATCAGATGACTTATTGATCAAAGCTTGTATTCTGCCACGCTTCAGATGGAAAAACTTACTTTAAGATACCACAAGTTTTACAACACAATTGACCTTTTCCATGCAACGCCCCTTTATAGCAGTGGACAGGGGCCAAGTTTTTCACAAAAATCACAAAAATGTAGCGTGGTCATTTACAACCATGTGGTTACACACACGCAGCGGGCGTGTCCCAGTAAAATGATATGAATAATGTCCTCAAAAGAGTCCTCCTTATATCAGTTTATCTGAATGCTAACAACTATAAGCAAGCAGAAGTTTTAACATTTCTAGAAATGTCCTAGAAAAAAAAAAATAGTAATCTGTAGTAACACCTAATCTGCATTTGTTAGTTTCCATACTAAATACGCCATTACTCTATATCAGGGGTGCTCACACTTTTTCAGCATGCTAGCTACTTATAAAATGATCAAGTCAGTGATCAAGTACGCCGGTACTTCTGTAGCGGCACTTACAGTCATAGTAGAAACTCAGGGTGAAGACATGTTATTATAGATCCATGGTGAAGACATATGTTTACAAGCACTGACCCCCGTCCTCAGCCCTGGTTTGATCCTGGTTTAGCTCCTGTTTTGGTTGTTTTCAAGCGTGAGTCCCTGTGATTACTTTACTGCTCTCGGATGTGGGGGATGTTCGCTGCTGCGAGCGGTTCGCAGCAACGGACAGTTTTTAAGGCAGTAAGATCCATGCTTCAGTAATCAGAGGTCGCACGTTTTGTTTGTTGTTGTTTTGGGGGCATACTCCCTCATCACCTCTGTGGAGTCCTTCCGTTTCCTGGGCACCACCATCACCCAGGACCTCAAGTGGGAGCCGACCATCAGCTCTCTCGTCAAGAAGGCCCAGCAGAGGATGTACTTCCTGTGGCAGCTCAGGAAAGCCAAGCTGCCTGCACAGATGTTGGTGCAGTTCTACACGGCCATCATCGAGTCCATCCTCACCTCCTCCATCACCGTGTGGTTCGCTGGAGCCACAGTCAGGGACAAACAGAGACTACAGCGCATTGTGCGCTCTGCAGAGGAAGTGACCCGAGCTCGAGGCCGGGCTGGTCGTTGCACAGCCGACACCTCTCACCCCGCACATGGACTATTCCAACCACTCCCCTCAGGCAGGAGACTGCGGTCCATCAGGACTAGAACCTCCCGCCACAAGAACAGTTTCTTCCCCTCTGCTGTTGGACTCTTGAACACTTCTTAACCTGTCCCCCCGCCCTTTATAACATCACTTTATCTCACTGTACTGCTGTCACCTTACATTGTGTGCACCATGTGC